GATGGTTGGGAATGTGTTTTTTTCAAACGCTCCCTCAATGTCTATGAATTTACCTAGGGTGGATTCTTTATTATCCAGCGACCTTTTAATTCTTCCCACTACATGATGCAGTGCAGAATCGGTAGATCTTCCCGAAGTATATGCATGCTGATTTGGGCATGCACAGTATGGTCCATTTAATCTTTTCCTCATTAATCATTGTTCTGGCGAGATGCCAGTCGTTTATTGAAAGTATGATTACTTCTTCTATCCAGTTTGGTGCTGTTGACACACTAGAACCGGGAAAGTGTGTTTTCATTTGGACCTCAGCACTTTCGCAAAGTTTTGTTTCAATCTTCCTTCAAAGATAATAAATCGTATATAAAATAACACAAGAAAATATAAAATATTTTCATAAATATGCATTCATGAAAAAATGAAAACGGTTGGGAGCCTTATAACCTTTATATTATGTATGTCGCTATTCTTTAACCATAATTTTATTTTTTTTATATAAATATTACTGTACCTATACCGTATTCTCACAGTCTTACCTTGATATATAAAAAAGTATATAGGACCAATCTTACCGGCAAGATATGGTATATAATAATATCCAGTTAGTTCAGGTTATGACTAATACGTATAAATGATTAGCATTTTTACAAGGATCAAGGATACTTTTGTTACATTTCTCTATTAATAAATAATAATGAAAACGATTTCCGTAATAAATGTCCCAATTTATTTTTAGAGATTATTTCTCATGAATATCTAACGAGATTATTGCATATATTCATATTTTTACTTAAATTTTAATAGAAAATAGAATTATATTAGGTACTTTTTATATTAATTATTTTCAAGAAGAAATACAGAGTCGATGGAGCGTTTTTAAATAAAAATAAAACAAAAAATGATAAAAAAAGGTGCAAAAAATTTTTTTATAAAACGAAAAAATTCATGACTTCTCTCTCTTGTCGTTTCCCCATTACTGAGGTTCATGATTTCTTCCAATATTCCTAACAATTTTTATATAGTGGTCTCTATCTTCAGATGCTTTGAGAGCTTCGCATAATTAGTGTCCAGCTGAATTCTTAATTTGGTCGGACCATACTAGTTGGTGATTGTTCTCTTGATATTTTTCCCGGAACGTTTCCAAGAACAATTAATCTCTCCAAACTATCGTCACATCTGCGAACCACGTGACCGAAAAATTGCAGAATACGTTGAAGACATATTGTGGGCAGCCTTTTTTTAATTTCGAGTTGGTTTCGAATGGGAACGTTTGTCCTGTGAGCTGTTTAAGGTACGCGCAGCCTTCTTCTCCAGCACCACATCTCAAAGGCATCAATTTTTTGCGAGAGAAGAGTTCAAGTCTCTACCGCAGAGAAATATTAAAAATGCAAGGCATTCACCAGTCTGATGTTGATATTTTAGGAGATGGCTCTGTCTTTCCAAACTTTAGTTAGGCCACTCATTGCATTTGTTACCATAGGAATACATCTCCCAAAATTGCTGCTTAGGTGGGAAGCTATTGTTCAGTAATAATTATACATTGCATAGTACCATGCGTTTCGCACGGAAGTGGGGACTAAACCAAATTTCATCTACTGCGCCGTGTCAAGAGTGCTTGCACGCACTATACCATCGTTTGTTATACTAGGCCCGAGATAGACAAAACTGTCCACTATCTAGTATTCCTGTAACATGTTAGTCAGTTGAATAGTGTGGAATCTGTCGACCACCATTATTTTTGTCTTTGCTTTTATGATTTTCAGACCAACTTTATTGCTTTGGTACTCAACTCTTCGCAGCAGATTAAACATTTCTTGCTCATTTGCTGCTATAAGTGTAAAGTCATCAGCAAATCTTAAATTGGAGATTTTTCTACCAGCCACTGTTACTCCACCAGCCCATCCTCCTAAAGCCATCCTCATGACATTTTCACCATAAATGTTGAATAAATTAAGTGACTACACGCATCCTTGTCTAACACATCTCTTGTAATTTAATAGGTTGAATGCTCGAATAAATGAACTTTGAAAATAAGGCTATTATCGAGCACAAGTTAATTAAATCTAGCCCAAGTACTTTCGCTTAAAATAGCATTTTCAGGGCATTTCGTCAAAATGTAAACTATCCGGCAAGCGTAGAATGTGGAAACATTAAAAATAACATAAAATTGTACAAAACACTACACTAAAACGAGGACAAACATAAAATTACTTAAAGATTCTACGCTACATTCTCTGTCAGTATCTGGAGGGATAATCAGATCTGACAGAGAATGTAGCGTAGAATCTTTAAGTAATTTTAAACTGTTTGTCCTCGTTTTAGTGTAGTGTTTTGTACAATTTTATGTTATTTTTAATGTTTCCACATTCTACGCTTGCCGGATAGTTTACATTTTGACGAAATGCCCCTGAAGATACTATTTTAAGCGAAAGTACTTGGGCTAGATTTAATTAACTTGTGCTCGATAATAGCCTTATTTTCAAAGTTCATCTCTTTAATTGGTTTGAAAACTTCTGATCTAATCATACTAATCTATAAGTCTTACCAGGTGCATTGATGTGCCCATTTCTATTAAAATAGACGACAGATTTATCCAGCTTACACAATCAAATGCCTTTTGGTAGTCAACCAAGCATATAATTATAGGTATTTGAAATTCTCTAGACTTTTCAATGAGTTGTCTCTAGTTAGCATTTGCTCTCGTTTTTTTACCTTTTTACCGACCTTTTACAACCCATTTGTTACTGGGTATTTGTAATGTAGATAGATTTTAATCTGTTTTGATGGTACTTAACAAGATTCAACTAGCATGTGTTATTAATGACAGTGTGCGGTAGTTTTCACATCTTGTATAGTTCGTTTTTTGTGTAGCGGATATAATTAAGGTACACCAATTAGATGGCTATTTTCCTGAATTCTAAACGCGACACAATAGCATGATTGATATATAATCGTTTGTTACCTATAACTGTAGTATTTCACTTGGTATTGAATCAATTCCTTGGATGTATTTCTCTTAACCAATTCATTGCATCTTTGATTTCAGCGAATAAGACAGTAGGTTCTCTAGGGTAGTCAGAGGGCCACTGATTTTTTGCTGGTACCTCGTTATTTTTATATAGCTCGCTACAGTAGTTTCGCTATGTTTCCAATATTTCGTCAGTATCAGTCTTTAGATTACCTTCCTTATCTAATACAGACCACGTTTAAGGTTTACATTCTCTGGTAAGATTTGATCTTCTGAAATAAATTCCTCCGTTCTTTCGACAACCATGTTCCTCTAACTGTCTGCATATTTGTGAGATGTAATCAGCTTTGTCGTTGTATCACTGTTTTCTGACATCTTGATTTCATTCCAGACTTAAAAATGGATAATTCCCGGGAGCTGTCTGTATACCATATTATAGTTAAAAAACTGGAACATTGAAGTAAAACACTTCTGTTTTAATTGGTATATTTAATTAAAACCTAAATTTTAAGTCCATCAGTCCATCTTCAGTGAACCTAAAATTAATCAATACCACTAAATTAATAAAAACGTAGGGTAAAATTTTGACTGTGATATGCAAACCTGTGGTTTATTATTTACTCTGTAGTACTTGCAAAGTAACCTCAGAACCAAACAGTGATTGAGTTTAAATGGATAAAGCCATATTTCTTCTTCTTTACTTCCTCTTATAAGCAATTCTGCTTGTTCATTGGCGGGTTAATGCCTATATGGAAGGTTGTCATTCCATCTTTTGCGTGGTCGTCCGATACTTCTTCTGCCGATTGGTGGCATATCTCTTGCTATTTTGACGATACGAGTCTCGTCCATTCTGCTTATGTGGTTATTCCATTCTCTTTTTCTATTTTCTGTCTATTTATTTATACACTGTACGTTACATTTTTTTCTAATGACTTCACTTCTCTTTCGATCTGTCATCGTGTTTCCTGTAATTCTTCTCAGTACTCTCATCTCTGCTGTTCTCAGTAGCCTTTGCGTTGTGGCTGTATCGGGTCTTGTTTCTGAGGCATATGTCATTATTGGTCTTACACTGGCTTTAATAATTTCATTTGCATTTTGATTGCATAATTTTTGATTTCATCTTAGTGTTAATGTGTCTGTTACGCCATATAGTGTTATTAAGGCATCCTGCCAATCGATTTGCTTTTTGTACTTGAGCTCTCACGTCTTTGTCCAGGTCTCCATAGCTAGACAGTGTAATTTCCAGGTATTTTATTTCCACTACTTGTTCAATACTGATGTCATCAATTTCTATTTTATATCTGGTTGGTTCTTTGCTGGCTACTATTTTTTTTGTTTTCTGAGATGAGATTGTCATATTAAATTCTTTTGCTCTTATTTTAGATATGTGGACCAGTCTTTGCAGACTATCTTCATCTTGGGTTATCAATATTGCGTCGTCTGCGTAACAAAACATTTTTATTTCTTTCTTTTCCATTCTGTATCCTCTTCCTTTGTTAACGCTTTTAATGATTTCATCGATGATCAAATTGAAGAGCATGGGGCTCAATGAATGCCCTTGTCTTATTTCGCTGCCTATTTCTGTAGGTTCTGTAAGTTGTCATCTATTCTAACTTCCATTTTGTTTTTTTGGTAGATGTTTTCGACAGTTTTTATAATATTTAGGGAGCTTCCCTATTATATAGAAGATGGATTACATCTTTGAGTCTAACTCTGTCAAACGCTTTCTTTACGTCAATCAGACACAGAAATGCTGGTCTATTATACTCTAGTGATTTCTCAGTACTCAGAACTGTAGCCGGTCCCGAGCCCGGATAAAGGAGCAAGAGGTCTACAGCCAGGTGAGCATCCTACTGCTAGACTTTAAAACCATACAGCTCGTAGAAACAGGAATATGCCTCGGAACAGGAATGAAACCATATTTGAGGATATTTAATTGTATGGCGGTATGCCGATTCTGTTAGTTCGCTATCATCAAAACTTATTTTTATAGTAATATAATATAAGTAATTACACTAATGCATTTTTTTTGCAGATTCTAGCAGCGGCCTTCTGTGCCGTAGCTTCGGCAGCCAAAAATAATCAGCAATACACTACACCTGTACCAATTCTCAAACAGATCGACAAGCATAACGAAGATGGCAGCTACAGCTACGGTTACGAAGCTGCTGATGGAACATTCAAAATCGAAACGAAGTATCCTAATGGCGAAGTTTACGGCAAATATGGATATATCGACGATACTGGAGCATTACGAGAAGTGGAATACGGTGCCAGTAGAAGAGGTTTCGAACCCGCTGGAAATGAAATACAGGTAAAAAGGGTAATTTATTTCTCAAAAACAAAAACTTACTTTTTTATTGACTATAACAGAGATTGGCAACCATTATAGACATTTTCATAATTGAAGCCACATCTTTACATAGTGATATCAACGATTTCTTATTCCATTTTCTACTTCGCTTTTTATTGTAGTAAAATATTAAACCGCATCTAACAGTATGCATTGATGTATTCTTTTATAATAATAAAACTGCTTGATATTCGAAATAAGCGGCCCGTTTTTTTGATTCACTGATAATATAGATATCATGCTACCGTTTTATCTATTGGCATGCTTTCATTCAGTACCTGTCTTATTATGTCGAATCCGGACAAAAAGTTTTTTTTTTGTGCATGTAACAATATTTATGCCCATTAGGCATATTAAAGATAAGCTAAGTTTTTATATCTTCTCTTTTAAGTTAAAAGTTAAAAATTCTCTTAATTGCTGTGTTTCTTTTGTATATAAGGACTTGGGCCAATTTGTTCTTGTTCGACCATAAAACTGTAGGTATATTTGTTACTATTGACTGCCAACTATCTCGCCAAGTTTTTATTTGTCTTACAGATGATATATATATATATATATAATATATATATATATATATATATATATATATATATATATACAAGAAATACTGGATATTAGTAACTGTCGATATAAACAAACAACACAGTTTATTAGGGTTGCAGTCAGAATATTGGCCGGGATGTTAAAAAAATGGCTTTCCATTCTCTGTATGAGTTAATATACACCAGTAAAACATGCCACCAACCAAGTATTACTATTTTTACAATAAATTTTAAAAATTTTATGATGTATTATGTCCATAATTGTATATTTTAATGTGTGGTATAAATGTTGAGTGTCAATGTTTACAAAAATAATCTCAACGACTATGTCTTGAAAAGGAAATAAAACCATTCCGAAAGCTCGACAAAAAGTCAAAAGAGTGTTTTTTTAACATCCCGGCCAATATTCTGACTGCAACCCTAATAAACTGTGTTGTTTGTATATATATATATATATATATATATATATATATATATATGCTTATTTTCCCATTATTAATATTCTATGAGATGATATCCATTAAACATACTAATATATAACCTGCTTTATTTGATTGCTTCAAATTTTTTATTCCAACTGCTGACGCAGATCAGCCAGAAAATTAAATAATTCTACCATCAAATAAGAGAAGGGCCAAAAATAACAAAAAAAAAGAAACAACAATAGCTATGGGAGACTTTAACGCTAAAGTTTTAAGATTATATTCTATTCTGCTCAAAAATACAAATTAACTAAGATTATCTAGTAAGATAAATCCCTTAGAAACCCCCAAACATGTGCACACATATCACAGCAAATAAATAGAAAATACACAAAATAACAAATATACTAGACGAAAACAGAACCATCAACGAATTTTGCTACGACACACAAAACTTTACTCTAGAGGAAGTAAGGGAGTCTTTTTAAACACTTTAAGTATTGGCAAAAAATGGATAAATGACACAGGAAATTCTAGAATTGGTGTAAGTTCGACGAAAATACAAAAATATAAATATTAACATATACCGCAAAATCGATAATCTCATAAAAAATAAAAATCAATCAAGCCAAAGAATCTTGGCTCTAAAATGTATATACAGAAATCTCTCTCTCTTCAATCCTGACCCCCCAGGGGAAGTGTAGTGGTCGACGTGATGTCGTGTATTGTCCGTCTCCAGAGATCTCTGTCTCTGGTCATTTCTTTGAATTCATGCATAGGTCTTTGGCATATTCCTGTAATTTGATCTATGTGACCATCTTGTTGGGGATCTTCCTCGTGATCTTCGGCTTTCTACCTTTCCTTTTATTATGAGCCTTTCCATGTTTTCTGTGTTTGCTCTCATAACATGCCCAAAATATTTTAATTGTTGGAGATGGACTTTACTAGAGAGTAGTTGGCTAACTTTTAGCTCTCTTAAAATTGAATTATTTGTTCTACGGTCGGTCCAAGGAATTCGTAACATTCGTCTCCAACAGAACATTTCAGTGGCGTCTATCTTTCTTCTCTCCGATTGTCTCAGAGTCCAAGATTTACATCCGTAGGTCAGTATTGGGAATATTAAGCAGTTGATCAACCTCATCTTTATCGCTCTTGAAATTTGACAGTCCTCCCATATTTTGATCATTTTTGCTGTGGCAACTTTTGCTAGATCACTTCTACGTTTAATCTCTTCTTGTAATGACCCTGTGTTTGTGATTAATGATCCCAGATATAAGTATGAGCTCACAACCTCGAACCGGTCAATTGTGGTTATGTGTGGATGATTGTTGTGTAGTCTATCCACTATCATGATCTTTGTCTTTGATATGTTTAATTGCAGACCAAATATTTGACTTTCGTTTTCAATCAGTCGTATCGTAAGTTCCATCAGCTCTGCTTGACTATTTGCAAGAAGGGCTGTGTCATCTGCGAAACATAGGTTGTTTAGTTTATGACCATTTATTGAGATGCCCTTTTCCCATCCTTCAAGTGCTCTTCGCATAATATACTCCTCATATATGTTGAATAATTGTGGAGATAGTATACATCCTTGTCTGACACCCCGTTCTGGATGAAACTAGTTCGAAAGTGTGTCAAGTACTTTAACTGATCCAGTAGTGTGTTAATATAGTTCAGTTATAAGCGTAATTAGATGTTGTGGTACTCCTACTTCTTTTAGTATTCGCCATAAGTGTCTCCACTTGACCCTGTCGAACGCTTTACGGTAATCTATAAAACAGATGTATAGTGGGATGTTGAATTCCCTAGATTTCTCGATTATTTGTCTTATATTCAGCAGGTGTTCTCGAGTGCCTCTACCTTTGGTAAATCCAGTTTGCTCTTGTGTAATTTCTCTTTGAAGGAATGTTTTCAGTCTCTCATTGATTATATGTAGCATTATCTTGCTGGCATGGGATATAAGAGAGATAGTTCTATAATTGTCGCATTTATGGAAGCTGCCTTTTTTATGTATGGTCGTTATTGTAGATTTTGTCCAGTCTTCAGGCCATTGTTTGGAATGTCCATATTTGGTTACAGAGTAGATAAAGTAACTTTACGCCGGTTTCTTCTATGGCTTTAAGCATTTCTGCTGTTATCATATCTGGACCTGGTGCTTTGTTATATTTGAGCTTGTTGATAGCCTACAGTTGATAGATACAGAAATAGAATACCTCCAAAAAACACACGGCAGTTTGATCTTCCGCAAGAAACTTAAATAGAAACAAATTAACTATTTCAAAGAAATTCCTATTAGTAAGGGTCTAAAGCAACGCTGCTGCATAGTACCTACATTTTTCAAAATATATCTGAATGAGGCGTTCTCAGCTTCTCGTAAGATAGAAGATCGAGAAGAAAATTCTGCAATATGGATATTTCCATCGAAGAAAAAGATTATACACGATACACTTTGCTTATGACTAAGCAATTCTAGCTAAAGACGACAGTGATATAGACTATAGGCTTAGAAAATTGGAGGAGGAGTACACCAAGTGGTGCCTTACAATTAATGTACAAAAAATCGAATATCTAGAAAAATTGGAAAGCCCACAAATTAAAATGGAAACTATAAAATCAACTCAAACCTTCAAATACTTGGAGGTCCAAATAACATCAAAAGCAGAGAGTAACGAATAAATACATTCTAGGATTGGCCAAGCAGATTAATCACTAGACAGCTACATGGCAGACATAGAAAGTACTAGGTTCTACAGAGCCAAACTTTGGGAAATCAAACAAAACAACAAATAAAAAATTAAAGCCGTGAAAATGGACTATCGAGACGATGTTGCGGCACAGTAGACTTAATCGGGTGAGGAACGTAGACAATGGAAATTTTTCTAGACATAGTAGGTACTATAGAAGCCAAAAGACTAAACTGGTATAGACACCTGCAGAGAAAGTCTGAAAATAGATGGCCAAAAAAGACAGAAAAGTAGACTTCGCCCACTACAAGAAAACGAGGTAGACAAAGACATTTTCAGTTAAAAAATGGATATCTTGTATGTTCATTTCTGTGACTTTCAACCCACCCATAAATTTATACTTAATTTTATTTTAATTTTTTAGGTCGCACCTCCTACACTAAATTCCAGTCCTAACTCTGCCCGACCTCTGGCTCCGAATGAAGAAGACGATGGACAGTACAGGGAAGATCCTGCAGCATATTACCAAGACGATCCTTATGTTCAACGACAACAAGCTCAACCTCAACAAAGGCCAGCTCCGAGATATAGACCCGAACCAGCTTACAGACAAGAACCTGAACCTTTCGAACCATTTGAACCCCAAATAGTAAGACCATCTTACAGACCGCAAGCAAATTACAGACCACAAACATCTTACAAACCACAACCGGCTTACAGACCGCAACCAGCCTACAGGCCGCCTCAAAGCTATTACAGAACGGATCCAGAACCTGAACCTTTACCTGCTCCAAGATATCAGCCACAACCTGCTTATAGACCTCAGTCAAACTTTGGTTTCCAAAACGATAACAACAACTACAACCCTGCTCCAAGTTGGAACAGCAATCCAAGTTGGAACAACAACCCAAGTTGGAACGCTCCCCAACCAAACGGTCCTTCCTGGGCGGGACATCCAGCGCAGAACGTGGATATTAACTCTGGGTCCTACACAGTTCAGTATAAAAGATAAGAAATCATAGATAGGTTAGGCTAATAAAGTTTATTCAAAGTACCAGCACTCATAAAGATTTGAACTCATTTATTTGTATTGAACGATATTAGTTAGTATAAATATTAGCTGTAATATAATATACCCCAAAAAATTCATTTGTGCGGACATACCGCACAGCAATATCTTGCATTATAATAAGAAAGAAACTAAATGCTGCTTATTAAAAACACTGAGGATTTAAACCACATAACAGACACACAGCTGCAGGCCTACAATGAGCACATAACATAGAGACTGATGCTTTCATCTACGGAGGCAAGATTTGCTCTAGTCAGTTACAGTTCACATTTCAAACTGCGGAAACAATTTAATAATCCATAAGTTCTACAACCTCTCAATTTTTTATTAATATTTGGTTTTATTAATATTAATAAAACCTTGGAATTGGTCTCCACATTAGCTAATGATGATCCGATGTAAGTAATAGAGGAAGCTATGGAAATAATTATGGACATATATTTTTCTTCTTAGGGTGCCTGTCCGTTCCGAACGTTGGCGATCATTCTGGCTATGATGACTTTGTTGGTTTCTATACGGAATAGCTGGGTTGGGGTCTTTCTATACCATGCTCTCAGTTTAGCAAGCCAGGATATTCTTCTTCGTCCTGGGGCCCTTTTTCCTTCAATTTTACCTTCTAAAATGCATTGAAGTAGCTCATATCGGCCTTGATTTCTCATTATATGTCCCAAGTACTGCAACTTGCGGCCCTTCACGATGTTGAACAAATCGCAGTTGCGTTTATCCTCCGCAGTACTTCTTCATTGGTGACTTTGTCTCTCCATGGTACCTTCAAGATCCTTCTGTATGACCATAGCTCAAAAGCCTGAAGTTTTGATAGATATTCCGCCTTCAATGTCTACGTTTCTACGCCGTATAGAAGCACTGAGTAGACATAATATTCAAGGAGCCCTATTTTTGTTTCCAGGGCGAGATCATGGCTCCTGTATACAGAACTCATAGTCAAGAATGCACTCTTTGCCTTTCCGATGCGACATTAAATCTTTCGGGTATTCTCTCACGACTCATTGATTATAGTTCCCAAGTAGTTGTACTGTGAGACTTGTTAAATTCTCATTTGGTTCACATACAGATTTGCTCAAGTTATGTTTTCCTTGCTGATGATCATTAGCTTGGTTTTGCTGGTGTTTATATCCGGTCCATATGTTCGACTTGTTTCCGTTATTTTGTTCATTAAGTTTTGCAGCCCTTCTATGGTTCATATATGGACATATATGTATAAGATAATTTAGAGTTAAAAATATTATTATAATACGCTTATTTTATATGAAAAAGAATAAAAACAAATGGTCCAGATTTATTTAAATGTATATGGCAATAATATAAAAATTTTATATTTTTTTGAATTTTAAAATAATTTAGACAGATAATATCTTCGTACACATTTTAATTTCCATCTGTTCATCTTGGTTTTACTTAGACTTTAAATAAAATTATTAGTATAAATATTTAGTTTCGTTACCATATCTTTCCCTTCTCTCTTCGTCAAGCTTTGTCCATCCACTCCTGAATGTAGGCATTCTCCAATTGCTTCTATATTGGTCTCTTATAAGCCAATCTCATCAAATTCTTGCTCGCAATTGCACTTATGTGGTCTACCATCCTTTTTGAGTTTTCCCTCTCTTTCTTCTTCTCTCTCTTAGTCTGCACTTCAGGGTTCTCCATATCTACTTATTACAAGATACATCGAAACATTATAGACCCAAAACATATTTAAGTTTAGTTAGTGGAACCATATGTATTAGATATATTTATCACATCACCAGTAGGGTTATGCTTTGCCTAGCGTTTTCATGTAAAATCGACTTCATAGTTTGATTTGCAGAATTTTTAGTTATAAGTCGTAGAAACTTCCATTACCTTAACAAATATGTCTGTGTCCGCCTGGTCTCACCCGACATATTTCCTACAATTTTCTAATTCTCATTCATTAAGCTCACTCCAATGTTGAGAAAATTATAAAATCATCAACTATTTATATGAGAAGATTTTGAATATATAAATCTAAATGATATATTATCTAAATCCAACGTGGTCTATACAATTAAGCCTATGCACTGTATTAAATAATAATAGTAATAAATTATCATAGATAAAAATGTAATTACCTTTAAAGTTCATAAAAGAAATGCAAGAAAGATAAAGCTATTTGTTATTTAGAACACATAAAGCATTTGTGACTGTAATAACTATACAATTTTAACAATTACTTTTAAATGTCAGACTTCTTTATGAGTGTAAAAAATGATTCAACAAGAACCAGACATATTTTTAATTTAATAATTAAATTCCAACTTAGATTATAAAAGCAAGTGCAGTGTTCGAATAAACATATAATTTAATATTTACTGTTAATTGAAACAGATCTCGTTGGAATAAACAACAAATTGTTGTGGTGTTAATGTTTTCTACTTCCAGATCAGTTTTCATAATAAATATTCACATTCAAAAACATTGACTTGATTTTTGATTTAATAGGCAAAATACACTGTCATTTTCTTTATAATTATTTTGGTGCCTTTATCCAATATTCGATGTTAATAATTGTCCATTACTTTCAAGGTTCTCTATTAAACACTCTTCTACAAAATCAACTGGTCACAGGTTTCTTTCCAAACATGAATGCATTTATGTCACTAATTCTTAAGTCCTTTGTTCGTTTAATTATCGTTTGAATACAATATCCGAGGAAATCACTGCATCATATACATCTGCCAATGTTCTATCTAGAGCTGTAGCCGCAAGTGTTATTCTAATAAAACTTGGAGTTCAAAAACGATTTTAATGTTAGCAGTGTCTTTCCTGTCTAGGTAGTCTTGCACTCTGAAATGTCAAAGAATTGGACACCATACTAATAACTTGCTTGCTGCTTGCCCAAGTCTTCAATCAAGAGTTTAAAATCATCCTAATAGTTAAAATTCACCATACAAGCCTATTGTTCAAAGTTACTAACACGTAAGAATATTATCTAGCATCTTCTTCTTCTTCTGGTACCGACTCCACCAATGAAGGTTGGCTACATCCATTGCAAATTCGTCTCTAACATCTGCTTTTCTTAAAAGGGTGTGTTTAACCAGGTCCAGTGCCGAAAGCTTTGCAATCTGGATATTTGCCTTCTACCAGGAGCCCCATTTCCTTCGATTTTACTTTTCATAATCAGCTGCAATGACTTATACTTCTCATTTTAAGGTATGTGCTCCAAATATATTCTGTGTCTTCCCATTCGGTGCAACATCATTATGTCCTTAATATGATCTGTCAATGGTATGAAAAATACCAGGCAAACGCAGTCCAGGACGAAGAAGAACCTTATTGAAGAACATGCGAGATTGGTATGGTGTTGATAAAAGCATGTTATTTAGGGTGGTAGTGAATAAAATTAAGATAGCTATGATGGTAACCAACGTTTTGAAAGGATATGGTACATGAAGAAGAATCGTATTTTCACAAGCGCGCTCCAAGCGTTCGGCACCATAAAGTAAAATGGAGTGAATATAACATTTTACCATACGATATCAGATTTGCAGATAGAGACTTTGGTTACTTAGAAATTTCTTCATCTTAAAAAGGCTGCCTTAATTGCTTTATTATTGATTGAATTTCTTATTTCGGATTTAGATCTTCAGTAATTCAGATTTCTAAGTACTTGATTTTGTTGACTTGTTTAACATCTTCAATTTTTATCTGAATGCTCGTTATGACTTTACCCCTCTTACTTTTAAACAAGGTTTTTGTTTTCTTTATGTTTTTTGTTAAACCAAATCGTTCTTCAGTATCACAAATTATTTTTAATAGCATCTGCAGGTCTCTTTTCACATTCAGTGATAACCGTCGGCATAACGAATGCTATTTATATTTTTACCATTTATCCTGATCTCTTCTGTACAGTTGTCAAGTGCTTGTGTAAATAATTCCTAGGAGTATTATATTAAATAGTAATGGTGAAACTACACAGCCTTATCTCACACCTCTACTTATCTGTTGCGCATCCGTGATATTGTTATCTAATGTTAAAACAGCCTGTTTCATAACATAAGTAACCTTTCATAAGTAACAAAAATAGCATCAATTTTCAAATATCTGGAAGCAATAATATCATAAGATACAAAGATGGATCTATATACATCCATCTTGGTACAATTTGTTGCGTGAAAGAAAGTACAAAAATAAAATTGAAAATTTACATCCTAATATTCGTATTAACATTAATATGTTTAAGTGAAACATGAGTCAAGATCACATTAATAAACAACACTCTAAACAAGGCAGATATGAAAGTGTTGAGAAAAATGGCAGAAAAGTCCTAATTAAACCAAATAAAAAGTGAGAATATTACAACAAACCTAAAACAGGAATCAATATTATAAAAGTTCCAAAAGGAAATTTAACCCGTAGGAAAATATCAACAGAATGGATTTAAGGATAGTAAAAAGCAAGGTGATTAATTTCAAAACTTCTTCTTCTTTATGTGCCGTCTTTTACCGAAGGTTGGCGACCATCACCCGATAGGTTTCTCTGTTTTGTGTCACATGTATTTGTGCTGCAGAAGTCGCAGCTTCTGGTATTTGAAACCATTATCTCAGTTTCAGAAGTTTCTCAGCTAGGATTTCTTCTTTCTGCCCAAACATCTACCTTCAATCTTGCCTTCCACGATAAGCTGTAGCAGACTGTACTTATCATTAAGGAACACATGACCCAGGTATGACGCTAATTCCAAAACACGTATGGTAAATTTAAACTCCGATGAAAAGGGCATAGTTCAGATTATAGATATAAAAAGTACAAAAGGAAAAACATATTAACAAATGTATCAGTGCAGATGGATCGAAAAAGAATGAATCTAAAAATGTCTCCGATACGTTGTTTTATATAAAAAAATATATAATAGCTTTTATATTTAGATTGTTTAAAGTTCAACAGCACTATGTACTGTTAAAAAA